CCCAAAAAAAAATTTTAAAAAAAAAAAAAAAAAAAAAAAAAATTTAAAAATTTTTAAAAAAAAAGCTGCCGGGCCCCTAATCTGCCAGGGCCCCATACCGCCCTCCTCATGCTGCTGCCAAGTCCAGAGTCTCTCATTGGTCCCTGTCGGCCTCTCATTGCTGCTGTCTCCATCGCCACACTCTGCCATGTGCCACTTTCAGGTCTCCCCCACACTGCTGGTGTGTTTCCATTTTTTGTCATGGGGTGCGGGCAGATTACGGGCCTCCCATAGCTGCTGCCAGGCCCCTAATCTGCGTAAAGCCTCCCATTGCTGCTGTCTCCATCGCCACACTCTGCCATGTGCCACTTTCAGGTCTCCTCACACTGCTGGTGGGTTCCATTTTTTATTTTTTTTTTTATTTTTTTATTTTTTTAATTTTTTTTTTTTGTCATAGGGTGCTGGCAGATTACGGGCCTCCCATAGCTGCTGCCAGGCCCCTAATCTGCCATGGGCCCCCGTACCGACTCCTCATGCTGCTGCCAGGCCCGTAATCTGTCATGGGCCCCTGTTGTCGCTTGTTGGCATATTCCGCTCGTTCAGATGCTCCTTCTCCTGCTACTCCTCTTCACGGATTCCGTCAGCAGTCTTTCTTGGAATCCGTTTCCAAGAGACAACAGTTTGCGAGCACGCACCCGACGGTGCAGAAGCTGAACGTCCTCCTGTCCAAGTTGCTGCTGCCAGGCTCGTAATCTGTCATGCGCCCCTGTACCACCTCCTCATGCTGCTGCCAGGTCCAGAGTGTGTCATGGGTCCCTGTACGGCCTCCCATTGCTGCTGCCAGGCCCGTAATCTGCCATGGGCCCCCGTACCAAACTCCTCATGCTGCTGCCAGGCCCGTAATCTGTCATGGGCCCCTGTACTGCCTCCTCATGCTGCTGCCAGGTCCAGAGTGTGTCATGGGTCCCTGTACGGCCTCCCATTGCTGCTGTCTCTATCGCCACACTCTGCCATGTGCCACTTTCAGGTCTCCTCACACTGCTGGTGGTTTCCATTTTTGTCAAAGGGTGCTGTATGGCCTCCCATTGCTGCTGCCTCCACCGCCACACTGTGGCTCCACACTCTGGTTTTGGCCCCGTGACTGCCCAAATGAGTGAAGTGTGCGGTGATTCTAAGATCGACGGCACTCATCTGCATGTCATACTGACTGACAGTATTATTTCTCTTCCCCAGCAGACTCCAAGGGCATTTAAATTAAAAGGTACAGTGTTCTGCACTAATATTAAGTCTCTCTGAAGCCTAGAAACACCCTTTTTTAGTTAAATTCACAGCGAATATATTCGACTCGAATCGAAATTTTTCCACGAATTCGCCGAATCAGTCGAATCGAATTTTTGAATACTTCGCTCATCTCTAATTACTGTATTACTATCACTGGTGATGTCAGTGTCAATTAGTCCCCACTGCATTATTATAGTCCCACTATAACCCGCTGATCACCACCATTACTAGTATTAAATAAATACATAAAAATTCTGGTATATATACAATAGTTTGTAGACACTATAAGTTTCGCACAAACCAATTACTATACACTTATTTGGATTTTTCTTTTACCAAAGACATGTAGCAGCATACACTTTGGCCTAAGTTTATGAAGAGATTTGATTTGTTGATTTTTTTATTGAATATGTTTTATAACAGAAAATAGAAAATATTGGGTTATTTTCAAAGTTTTTGGTCTCTTTTTCATTTATATAAATAAAAAATAAACAATCCAATGGTGATCAAATACCACCAAAAAAAAGCTCTATTTATGCAAAAAAAGTGATGTAAATGTAATTTGCATACAGTGTTGCATGACCACGCAATTGCCAGTTAAGGAAGCACAGTGCCAAATAGCAAAAAATGCCTTCCAGAGCGTAAGTGGCTAGAGCACCAGCTGGAGATCCCAGAAGAGGGAGTTCAGGGTCACTCTGTGCAATACCATTGTATAGAGCAGGTAAGTATAACAAGCTTAGTATTTCAATAAAAAAAAAACATTTATAACTTTACAATCACTTTAACAGATTGGGCATGACTGAAAATTAAGCAACTGTCTGAGGCCCCTTCTTTAGAAATGATGAGGGAAATGATAATTAACCTCTTCACACCTAAGGGTAAAACAAATCTTAACGCCTAAGCACAATCTTGCAAGTTTGACATGTGTTAGTAAAACCGTACATATCATCACAACTACTTTGTGCATCCAGCTGAATTATACCTTGTTTTTTTCAGGACAAATTGGGCTTTCATTTGGTGGTAAATAGTAATGGATATCTAAAAAGAAGAATGTAGTGAGCGACAGGGTAGAAATTGCATCAGCTGCTAGCACAAAAAGGACAACCCACTTTATCCTCATAAACATATAATGGAAAGGAAGTGCAGCGCTATAGTGAATAACATAAGTGATGTGGGAAAAAAAAATGATATATGACATAAAAAAAGGTGAATTGCATGGGAAAATAATCAGTGCATAATTATCAATGTAATATTAGCAATCAATCTCTATATATAGTGTCCAGAAATTGTAAATAAATGTGACATCAAGTGGTGGGTGAATCTGTGACAATTCTTCCTCCTAATGCACTCACCCAGAAGCACAAAAACAAATGTGTATTCAAAATGGAAACTCCTCCAGCAGGTAAGCCTTATCCAGCAAAGGTATGCGGTGTGCAGCGCTTGAATTCAGTAGAAACAGTTCCCCCAAAAAGTGGCTCAATCTTCAGAAGCAATATGGCCCATCCTTGAAGGGAAAAGCTCACTGTAAAGAGTGGAGACCAGTGGCCGGAAACTTCAGGCTAGGCACAGCTTTTGGTGAAAGAGGAATCGAGCTGTCCATATCACAAGACAGAGTCCACATTGGGGTCACAAGACAGAGTCCGCATCGGGGTCACAAGCCAAGATCAGTGATAAGTAGCAATAGAGGGATCAAAGAGCAGCTGGCAGGATCGTGTGAGCGCTCACACAGTGACTGATCAGAGGCTGTCACAGCGATCATGTGACCCGGAATCGGGAGTCCTGGGTCCCGATCGTTAGATCTCAGTGACACCCCAGTCTTTGTGCTGGGAGCACTCTGTGTGGCCCCACAGAAAAAAGCCCAGTTCTGTAAGGCCGCATATTTGTGTTACATCGGTGTGAAGGGGTTAAGAAGAATTATTTTTTCTAGATGAAAGACTAAGGTAGATGACCGTATAGAAGTACATAAGTGTATTTTTACCGTTTTCAGCAGCCAAAGAATTTGTAAGTCAGTACAGTCAATCTTGTGCTTCACACACCTCTCCAATACAATAGGCAGGAAGATCACTACTTCCTGGGTCAGATTTACTGCTTCATTGTTAACCTCCCTGCTACCTGGACAGGGCTTATTATAACTATTGATTTTCCACTGAGTGAGCTGGAAACAAAAAGATGACATAGAAAATGGCATGGCAAGTTATACACTAGCTGTACATATAGCTGTTTGCCTGGACATCCTATTTACTTTGTTTGCATCTCAGTGCTGCTGATATCTTCCAGCCTCTTTTTAACCATTTTCTGTCTACATGCACTAGCTCCAGTATCACCTGTACATCATTGCTTTGGACTGGCTTCCTATAGTGTTAGCTTTGGACCATGCCTAAGCAACAGCCACTTGTGGTCTCCAGCAGGGATGCATGTGAGAGGGTGACAATGCAGATGCACATCTGTCACCCTAAAAAAATAAAAAAGAAGTGCCTAAACAAGGACCTTCATGGTAATGATCACCAAGTATTATTTTAAATGAAAGTGGATCATTTAAATTGATTGAGAATGACTTCTGAAACAGCATTAACACTGTAAAGCTTATGCAAACTTTTATTAATTTGATTTAAATCTACTTTAAATTTGATCTCTCTAGGCAAAACATTTTGGAATGTGGAAGGGTTAGTTTTTATATTAATTTGATTTAAATCTACTTTAAAGTTGATTTCTCTAGGCAAAACATTTTGGAATGTGGAAAGGTTAGTCTTCTTTTTAATTTGATTTAAATCTACTTTAAAGCTGATCTCTAGGCAAAACATTTTGGAATGTGGAAGGGTTAGACCCTTTGCCAAATTTTTATTGCTGTTTGTGTCTTCACTGGGGAGATTCACCCTCTTATTTGTACTGCTGACCATTGCCAGAGGCGGACTGACCATTTGGAAACTAGGGCACTGCCCAAGGGCCCGGGGTCAGTAGGGGGCCCCATGAGATGCCCCTGGTACCTTTTTCATAGGCTTTTTTGAGTTTGGGCAAGGACACAGGGGCCCCATGATCCCCTATTGCCTGGGGGCCCCATGTGTTGTCAGTCCGCCCCTGACCATTGCCACTAAATAAGTGAGGGGACATCTCAATTTTTAAAGTGGTCCCCAGAACTAGAGTTAAGTGGAAATCTTCTAATGGAGACACATTTTCTTGGGGACAACTGTGTAAAAAGGGAATTGCCCTCACATTGGGTGAATTCCTCTAGTTCATGCAGCTCTGGGACAGGAAGAAAAATATTTCTGATAGCACACAAACAGCAAAAAAAAATTTGATAGGGATTTTAACCCTTCCCTACCTTATCCAAATCTATAAAAATGTTTTGGCTATACAAACAAACTTTTATTAAAAATCGAGGCCATTGCCAAGGGACTGGAAGCCAAAGACTGAAGATGGCAGCAAGTGGACAATAAGTACCAAGAGAAACGGATTTGCCTAAATACTAATTTACAATAAAAACTGTCTCACTCTACCCCTAACTGTTAGAGAGTAGCGACACTTACAAATGCAAAAAAGGGCAATATAATGCCAAAGCAAGCTATGATCCTGTCAGGATGGGTTTACATGAGTAAATGTTTTGCCTATGCTGCATCTAAATGTGTAAATGAAAAAATCTTCCTGTAAAAGTGAAAAAGTCTCCTTATTTCTGTTCTACAGCTCTCTATATATAGCAATATAAAGTCTCAGCCAGCCTTTTTTTTCCTACAGAATTCTTTGTGGTTAAGGATTTGTGTCACCCAGTTAATACAGCCTGAAGCAGAAACACGTTCTAAATTATGTAGAGCAGGGAAGATGTTTGTGAAAGCTGAAATCTTTAGTCAGACTATTAACTACATAATGTGAAAGTAAAGGATGTGGTGAAATAAATATAGTAAATAACAATTTGCTAATATACAACAGAATAATAAACTTAAATACAAGACAGGTAACAGACAGGGGTTTGGAGGGTATTTACAGATATTAGGGTTGCACCTATACCATTTTTGTTTTCCTTGCATTGTGATTTGAGCCTATTCATTTTGTATTGGCTCAAATCTTACCACAAAGGTATCGGTAATCGGTATCGTCGAGTTCTTGAGCACAAGTATTGGTACTTCTACTTGCTGATACTGATTACTGATATCTTTGTGGTATGATTTGAGCCAGTACAAAATAAATGGGCTCAAATCGCAATGCAAGAAATCGCATGTGATTTGAACAGGAATGTGGTGCGATTCCTGTCCGGGTCACATGTGGTTTCCCTGTGGGTGCGGTGCAATATGCAGTACGATTTGAGCCAGCAATGCAAATTGCTTAGTATCTGCACGATGTCGGTAACGGTGCAACCCTAACAGATATATTTACGTTTTTGTAGAAGTGCACCTACACTGCAGATATTTGAGCAGTAAAAAGATGTTTCTACATATGTCCATGAAGGATTTA